AATCCGATCGCACGGAGCGATTCGGAGCGATCCGCGTTCAGCTGCGTTCGTGACAATTAGGATGACGCATGTACAACGTGATTAATCGCGTTCTACGAAACTGACTAGGTGTATGCGCGTGATTTGCCTATCTCTGCAGGAACAAAATGATTGTAGCGACAAGCGGGTGTACAACGAGAGTCGCTGACTCGGCGCGAATCCTTGAATCGTCGCGCGGGCCCGATGATTCATATGCTCGACGTTCTTGCTATCAACGTGCGCACGCCGTTAGATATTCTCCTTCTCTTCTCTCCTTTCTTGCCTCCGTTCGACGCGCCGGCCAGCTCGGCCTTCGTAGATTTTCAAGCGTGATCGATCGCGGCGGGGGGATTAAACGAGAAAAACGGAGCCGACTCTACGACGCGGGATGTAGAATTTCAACAGAGATCTGCGCTTAACGGATGAATATAAATAATCCGACGACTCTTGAGCATCGCGAGGCGCACCAAGCCTTCCCAAGTACTCGGTTGTCCGCTGAAAGAAGATGCGTCTCTTATCGCGAGAGGATTCCTCCGAGAGGAGCTCCGACCTCAATCGACGCCGCTCCCTCCTCCGCGGAGGGATCGATACTCCCGTTCCAACGATTCCAGGCTGCCGGGCGAGCGAGCAATGGCATGCTCGATAAAGAATCCGTTTCGGTGCCGGGTAAAGCACCTCCGAGGGAAAACTTTCGCACCGGTCAAGGTGACGGTTATGCGGTAATTTCGACTATTATTCGCGCGCAATCCATTTCATCCGAGCCTCGTATCGTATTGCTGCCTGCGTCGGTCAGCAATACGGTGATTACACATTTCTGCGAGCGCGAACAATAAACGTGGAGCTATCACTTATCCGGGTCAGCGCGGCTCACGGCTCTCCGGAAATCCGATATTCGATACAAAGTGATTTCGTTATACTCCAGCGGTTCGAGTAGCTACCTTTCGGTCGTCGAAATATCTCGAGCGGAAATCGATCCCGTCGATCGGCGCACATACGGTAAAAAGAGCAGCGATCGAATAAAAAAAAATATATATATAAAACACGAAAGAACCCTACATGAGGTTGCTCTAACGTCGCTGCCGTTCGTGACGCGCCGAGGAAACAGCTTCGCTTTTTTCTTCGCGGAACGAAGGCAGGAACATGATGCAGTGATATCCTATTTCCTAAGACCCTGATAATTATGGTGCGCCTTCAGGTAGTGAGAGCCTCGCGGAGAAAGCAGATGCTAGGAGCGTGTACTTTACGACGTGGTACGACGCGTTTTGCTGTCTCGAGGGAGAAGCGATTCTAAGTCTATGAGCGTTACAATATGATATAAAATATAATCTCTAATAGGAATAAATATATATTTTAATATATATTTACGTGTGTGTGTATATCTGTATATCTATATATATATCTACATATATATATATATTACTTTTATAGCGACGTTGCGGTAGGATTATAATGTTACGGGATCGTTGATTAAGTGTCTTAAGTGTATCAAATGACATATAAGTAGCATAAATAATTCTTTCGTAGCGAGAAATGCGACAGCGCTAATATATAATCTAATATGTTATGTCTAAGGCCCGGTTTCACTGCGCGTCGCTCAACAATCGTAATTTAATTCATGCTTGTCTGCCTCCAAGATAACAGTTGGAAGGAGACGAAGAATGAATTGAGCCATTGGGGTGTTAAAGTTGAGCGACGTCGGTGAAGCCGGGCCCGGGCGATGTGAGAAACGCGTCGTACCGCCGTTTGTGGGATCTGGCCGCTCGGACGAAAACCCCCGAGATGAATATTGAGAGAACCGCTCTCGTTAAGGGATTGCTGGAGTGGTTCTGCACTTTTGGCACCTTTCGCTCCTATAACTGTCAATTCACGAAAACATGTTTGTAATACACGAATTATGTGGCTTTTGTGTACAGACCGACAGTGTCCCACTATTCAGATTAAGTGAAAGAACAGCGTGGTATCGTTGTAATTAAGTTTAGGAGCTTAACAAGAAGTCTATTCACTCGAATAAGCTATACGTTACCTAACCTATAGCTTATTCTAGCGAATAGATTTTTTGTTAGGCTTTTAAACTTAATTTCAACGATACCATGCTCTTCTCTCATTTAGTCCGAATAGTGAAACACTGTCGGTCTGTACACAAGAGCCGCATAATTTGTATATTAGACAAATGTTTTCGCGAATTGATAGTTCTAGGAGCAAAATGTGCCAAAAGTGCAGAATCCCTCCAGCATCCCCTTAAACTGTACAATCGTCTAAACTCGATCAACGTCGCCAACGGTACCTACTACTACTCTCCTTTAAGCGCGGTTAAAAGCATTATTGTAGCGAGAATGCCTAATCGTATTGCTATAGTGAATGCCAGAGCGCGGCTTTCTCTCTCGACGCGTGTGCAGCGAAATCGAAAAAATATAGATAGATATATATATGTATATATATATATGTATGTATGTAGACGTATTGCGGTATATTTATAATACGCGTGCTCGATGAGCGCATGAACAGTAACGTCGGTTCCGGTGATTCCAAAGTCGTTCCAGATTTCCCGAACGGGCGAGGGTCGCGCTCGAATTTGCGACCCGCGAACGTTGATTTCGTTCCTTCGCCCCAGCACATTAATCACACAAGCAAATTTTATCCTCGCGGGAAGCTGCGCGGAGCTCGGCTACGAGATAAAGGAACCGCTCGTTCCTATTCGCGCGCTTACGCGTCTTCTCAGAAACAGTTTGCGAGTCGGAAACGTGGGCTAATACGTGGCCTTGTGTGCCTTTTAATTTTACTATATCGTTATAAAAACGCTCTACTGCGTCTTCCTTTTTTTTCTTCTTCTGAGGGTTAAACGAGAAAGAGTTAAACGAGCAAGCGGAATACGAGGCGTAAAATCGAATTACTACCCGCTTTACACGTCTCGTCTTTCAACTACGAGCCGGTTCTGCCTGTCGCGACGGACAAAGAGATTCAGCTAATATATATCACTCGCGCGACGTTAACGCCCGAGCGTTCAGAGAAACCGTAATCTGAAATTTAGAGTTCGGGATTGCTCGGGAAGGGACCCGATTTCCAAGCCGCTCCGTCGCGGTGCCGGAGTCGCAATTAAGCCGGCCGTTATTACTAATTACTCAGTACACTCGGCCCCCGTGCTGCGACCCATTCTGTCACTCGGACGAAGGGGGTAACGAAACAGTTGGGAAGCCTATTTGCGAACTCAATCCGGGAAGTCCGTACCGCGGAGAATTTCGAGACTCCCCGAAGTTCCGCGACACACAATCCGCTTCCGGTTTACCGATAAACTCAAGCCGCAATTATCGGCATCTAAACCGATCCGCGTCTCCATCCTCGAGCCTCCGAAACGTCTTTACGTATCGAGAACGTTTATTTGTATCAAAATACTTTGGATTCGCCATATTTTACATTTAGCACTTCCGTCAACCAATGCCCCCCTCCCCCGATACACTTGTCCTTTTCTTTTCATTTCTCACCCCCTCTCTCTCTCTCTTTCTCTCTCTCTCTCTTTAATAAAACGATCTCTCTTCTATTCGAGATGCGATCTCTCAACCGATCTTCCTGAAGCCCGTGTCGCACTGCGTATCGCGGATCGCGAATCGGATTGAGATTGAGGGTCGCAGATCGCATTTCAGCCGATCAGACGAGACAGCCTCGGACCCGATTGGTTGAATTGCGATCCGCGATCCGCAATCTCAATCCGATCCGTGATCCATAATTTTTCGTGTGACACGGGCTTAAGTTATCGTCTCGTTATCGTCTTTCCGCGACTATTAAATACCGAAATATTGGCTGCTCCCTTGCCGGGATAACGAGATAACGGGACAACTTTTATACTATACAATCACCTGGCAACGCGGATACGATATATATCTTAAAAAAATTCGGTGTTATACTTTCTTTTGTCAAAAGCACTTCTCTATTATTTCTATACATGTGACATGCTCTTTCTCTCTCTTTCTCTCCGAAGCCTAGAGAAAGATTTGGATAGATTCTGTTGCGCTGGAACGAATCTTGCATCTCGTAGACGTTCAAACTATTTGTACTATGAGGCAAGAAAGAAAATTAAGATCGTTATCTGAATATAGATGAGAAATACTCGCGATATGAACAGTGATATACAGCATAAATTTAATTTTGTCAAGCTTCTTTCGACTATTTCAATTGCTTTTCGTAGAACGGAAAAATGTTTTACGTATCTTCCTCCTTCAAGCCTTTCATGGCTGGGACACACGAGTCTCGCTTGCAAGATTTAACAAAGACTCAATAATTTAGCATGCATTCTATTACCGAAGAAATATTGTATCGACAAAAACGAAAATTAATTCGATCTTAAAAGGGTTAAAGATTGAGATGTTTAAGCAAATCTGACTCGATGCTTCAAACCGTATTAGTTTCGCTCGATAAACTCGCGAGTCGTGTGTTACTCAGCCATTCTCGCGCACTTCCGGGAAATCTTATTTGTCGAATCCCAAGTCAGGTTTCACGCGAATGAGCGGATTATTCCGTAGCGTTAATTGATCTCCACTCAAACTGCTCTTGTCGGATCGCTCGTGTTTTAAGGTACGGAACCGTAACGAGATTCAAATTGGAGCAAGAGCAAACGAGGGCGTGACTGGATGCGAAGCGTTTTGCGTTGGAGCGATAATATTGACTTATGACGCGTAGGATAGAGAAAAGAAAAATACCGGAGGTGGGGAAACTGCGAGAAGCGCAAGGGTAGAATATCTCGGCGATCGACAAGACCCGTCCCAGAGATCTCAATGTATTGCGTTTATATATCACCTACTTTAGTTTGTCGTTACTACCTACTGATTGTTTACGTCACCCGATTCAGCATCTATAAAATCCGAAGCTAAAACGTCGAGATCTATGATACTGTGCTGTGCAGGAAACTGAAACGTGATCAGGCTGGTAGGCCCCTAATTTGCACCCGTTAGTCTTCCTCCCCCCCCCCCTCTCTCTCTCCACTCCCTCCACCCTTTATCCCCCCTGTCTTATCCATCACGCTAATTTTATTGTGAAGATTGTGGCTCGTGGATTGTAGACACGCTCTTATTGCAATAATTTACCTACGAGGTACCCGCAACTCTTGAGGAAGAGACTTGTGACTTTATTTACATGCGAGGGTGAAGTTTGTCTTTTTTAAAACACATTCTCTCTCTCTCTCTCTCTCTCTCTCCCTCTCGCGCTCTCACCCATCTTTTTCTCTGGATATAAATTATTATGTATTACAAGACTATGCGCGACGTATATTGCATCCAGTTCTATTTTAACTTACCATATACGAACTGCGAGTTAGAGTTAACTATTTACAACCTTGAGATTACGCTGTAACGTATCGTGCTACAGGTGTGTGTACGCATGTGACAAGGAACTCTGGCTTATAGAAATCATTCTTCTGTGTCTCGATTTGGTCCTGAAACAACATTTGCCGAATTCGAAAGGGCAAAAAAGAAATGAGAGCATCTCTCCCGGAAAGACTGTGGCAATGTGCCACTTGATTAGCATCGTGCGATCTCAAACGCGGAAATGCAGACTCCGACTGAAAGTGACGTTTTTGTCACGTTGTATATCAATCAACAAACATCCTGATTATTTCCTAACCAAGATTGTCTAAATCGAAAGTGTGGAAAAGGATCGAACTCCTTCGACAGCATAGAAGTCAATCTCGAAATTATCATGAAACGGAATTCGGAAAGAGTTGCTTCAGAATTTATACGTCCGTGCGAGGGACGAAGTAATCCCACGAGGAATGAATAGTTGATACACGGCATAAAGAACTTCGGGCGTGTTTAAGAAAAAGAAACACGGGTGTATGAAGCCACGGCTTTCGATTACGAAATATTACGCGTCTACGTTTATTTACCTAATTGTTCGACAACTTAGCTTCTATTACGAACACTCTTTTTCCATACGCCGTCGCGACGATGCGCGGCAGCGAGGTTCTTCTCTCTGCTATCCACCGTTAAGGTTTGATCCGCAACAAGAGAAGGACATGAAACACTTGTCGCCGCAGCAACGAACGAACGAACGAAACGAGCGAGCAAGTGAGCGAACGAGCGTGCGAGCGACTTGGTAACATTTTTACATATTTTCGTCCAACGGCCACGTCAGACCACTCGCGTATTGCCCTGAGTATTGTTTGTACGTTAATATCTGCATGTCCTTCCTTTTGCGATTAAACACGGTTTCAAGTAGTTACATCTCGTTCTGTTGAGTTTTCCCGTTCAACAGTATATATACATCGACTAATCTCATCGATCGAGCGGAACATCCTCGAAGTTCGTTACATTACCAAAATGCTGAAAGCCGTTCTTGAAGATCCGTGCTCGGCTGGTGCCCGCCTTCATCTGATCGAGCAACGTCACGTTGTCCTCAAAGTCCTTCACCCACCTCGCGGTTTCGTGGCCCCAGTGAAAACGAATCGGCGCGGCATTGTGATAGACCTTCTTGATGCCGAGGCTACGTATCTCGATGCCCTCGTCCGAGTGGTAGAATGACTTCTCGCAAAAGTCCTGGCCTAGGAACGGCTCCAGCTCGGAGACGATCTCCATGAAGGTCGGGCGTTCGCTGGGTCGCCACTTGAAGCATTTCTCCATGATCTTCTGTATGGTCTCGGGACAGTTCCGCGGTAAATTCAGCATGCCTTTGCGTAGCACGTGATGCAGCACCTCCTCGTTCGAGAAACCCTGATACGGTATCTCGGCGAGGGTAAGTATCTCGTAGAGCACGACGCCGAACGACCAAACATCCGAGTCGGACGTGAATACGCCGTCGGAGAGATTCTCCGGCGCCATCCAGCGTATCGGCAGCAGGCCCTTCTTGCCGATCTTATAGTAATCGGTCTCGTAGATATCTCTCGCCATGCCAAAGTCGCCGATCTTGCAGACCAAGTCTTTGGACACCATGCAATTGCGGGCGGCCAGATCGCGGTGCACGAATTTCTTCGACTCCAGGTAGGCCATACCGTCGGCGATCTCAGCGGCCATTCTCATTATCCTGGATGCGTTCGGCACCATCTGCGTGTCACGTATCCTGCGCAAATACGTCTTCAGATCACCGTTCTCCATGAGCTCCATGATGACAAATGGCGGATTGCCCATGGAGACTACGCCCAGCAACTTGATAATGTGCCATGTCGAAAAGTTCTTCATGACCGAGGCCTCGTTCAGGAACTCGTTCTTTTCCCGCTGGCTGGCAGTCTCGGAGATCGTTTTGATGGCTACTTGTCCGGTGCCGTCCAGGTATCCCCGGTACACCATGCCGAAGTTACCCAGACCGAGCTCCTCCAGAATCTCAACGTTCTCCCTGGGTACCTCCCAGCTATCGACGACGTACTTTGTCTCGATATAATCTGGATTCACGCTGGCTATCAGTCGTTCCTGAGTCTTCTTCTTCTGGTGGTTCCTGATAAAGAGTATTACCGTGGTCACAGTGATGACCAGCACAATTAGAGTCAGCAGCGTCGCTATCATTATTCGATTGTTGTCCGATAAACCAACTGAGAAGTAGACCACATCGGTGAAGACGCCGTCGCCCGCTAGCGACGTGGAGCGTATTCGCAGGCTGTATCTACCCGGACTGAGGTTTCTGATGTAGTGACTGATGTGCTTCTCCCTGCGGCCGATGTACGGTATGCACTCGGTGCTCTTCTTCGCATCCTTCACGTCCAGATTCGTGTACTCGATGGTGTATGAGACAGTGAATGCGTTTGGATCCTTGACCGATTCCCAAACGACTTTGACGATAGTATTGTTAGTCACTTGGACCTTCACGTTGTGAACATCGTCCGCGCTCGGTCGCTTCAACGTCCGGACATTCGTATACTGAATGGTCGAGCACATGGGTTCGTCGCTATCCATCTTGACGCCACATGCGGCAATCGTGATAGTGTACAAAGAATAGTAGCTCAAATTCTTCAAAATGTACAAAGTATTTCGCGCACTGACATTGTACATCGTATATTCCTCGTCATTCAGATGGCTGATCGTGATGCCGCTACCAGTGTTAGCCGAAACGTCCGACCCAGTTTTCTGCTCTTCTCGCGTTGTAGTGAATAAATTGTTCGTCACGTCGTAAAACTTACTCTCCGGCGAATTGTAACTATTGAAGACACAGTAATCCTTCCAGCCAGGCGACAAGTGGCTGAGGGTTATATTCGTATGACAGAATATCTCGAATTGTTTAGAGATCTTCCGGTCTTTGAAACAGGAACAGGAATTGGGATTCGAGGTCAGTGATGTCGTCGCCTCGTGTATCTCCTTTTTGGCCTCGTTGTCCAAAGTATCGACACAGTAATCCCGGGAGGCGACCAGTTTCGCGTCGTCCGATCGATGTGTACTGGAGATCATGTAGTAGCCTATAGGACCGTTCGGATATACCGGCGGGCTCCATTTGAGAAGAATTTCGCTGTCGCTTATCGCCTTCGAACTCACGTTCGTCGGTACTGAAGGTATCGTGCTCTTCGTCTGGAAGAAGATGATCTCCGACTGCCCCACCGGACTTACGAAAGAATTCGAAGCATTCTTCTTGTTCCTTGCCGTGAACGTCTTTACATAGGCGGCATACTTGGTATACGGTTTCAAGTTCGTGATGTTCTTCGAAACGATCGAATTCAAGTTTGGAATACCGACGTCCACGATCTGCCACGTGTTATTACCACAAGCGTTCGCCTCGTACGTTATGTCCTCGTTCTTGGCCTCTATGTAATTTAGCAGATAGTTGAGAAGTTGTTGGCCCTCCGGCGGCTTATAGCTGTCCCAACTGAGCATTACGCGATCCGCCTCCCGCTTTTTCACCGTGATATTTATGTTGACGATGTTGCAAGCAACTTTTTCGCCGTTCGATTCCGGCTGGACCTCGAGATCCGTAAAGTTGGTGATATTTACCATTTTACCGAACTGCTCTATTTTAGAGAGGCAGAGCTTGGGATTGTAATGAAAGAACAGTCTGCCGTTCTCTATCGTTATGTTTTGGGACAGTGGGAAGAGGGAGGAGAGATTCGGATTATCCAGGACCACCAAACTCGCGTTATTAATGTCCAAATTTTCACCCTTGATCACTTTGAGTTTCTTGAGAAAGCTCAGTGATGTGATCGGAAAAGAATGCGTTATCTTGAGGTACTCGGATATCTCCTCGATTAAACCGAACGCGTCTGCCAATTCATTCATTATATTTGGGTTACCATTTCTGATTTGAAACTCCAGAGCTCCCTTTACTACCGTTATGCCGCGAAAGGACTGAGCGTCCGAAATATGGCGTATGATAGCACCCTTTTCGATTTTACGGCACTGTCCTGAGCACCCCCGACAGCCTGTCACCTGTAATGAGAGAACGAGAGAGTAAACGAAAAGGAATCGAAACAAGAACTTATGTGTAGTAGTGAAATGCAACAAGCTAACGTACATTTTTGTCGTCGATGTAATCCTCGAAACCGTCAGGACATTGGGTGACACAGGAGTCTTTGAAAGGTCGCCATATGTTTATGTCTTCCATTTTAGAAAACCTTCTGATATGGTTCATATTGAGGCATTCGTCCTTGCTGATGCACCGCCTCGAAAGATATGCGTATCTGCGAACAGAAAAACCGTCGTTACAGCAGAACAGGAGATCTTCCTACCAACAGACAGAAGGTAGAATGTTTATAACCTGATACTCTAAAACTGACATGCTGCGAGTGCAACGCGTCAAAAATGTAACGTGCATTATGAAATGTTGAAATATTTTGCTCAAGGGGCTCATTAAATAAAAAAATTGTCCGTGTCGTCTCTTTCCCTGTTTTTCGGTATTTTAATTTTCCAACAAGATGTTTAAAATTGAACATGAAGCTGCAAAAAATAACGATCTCCTCGAGCAAATATTTACCGAGAAAAAATTAATTCCAGCTTATTACAAACTCGATAAAAAATTGGTAAACTCCTCGGGGTAATCTACATAACTTAAATTAAGTAATTTTAATTTTAAACTACAGACCTGCATTATTCATGTTATACTTAAGTAAGATGCACGAGAGAGACGTAAGAAAGACGTATACTATAAACCTAGTTTTCTTATTCACGTTATATGCACTCCATACAAGTTACTCACAAATTGGGCGGACACCTTTCGATACACTTTCCGTCGTGTCGATAATGCTTGCACACGTAACATTCGGTATCACTTGGACCGTAACATTCCCCGAGACATTGCTCGTGGCAGTTTGGTCTCTCTAACTTTTGGCAATGTTGGGCAGTCCAGCAATAACCTCCAGGACATTGAGTGCATCCTGCAAAGTGCGATTTTTAAAGGAGCGTCATCTTTCGCAATGTAATTACCTCTTTAATTCTCCGAGAAATATTTAACAAAAAAATTGCGTTCACACTTTGATTGTATATTAAAATTGGAATTAAAACTTGTCTCTAACACACCTTTCACGTGCGGGCAATTATCAATTCTGTTATCTTTGATAAAGCTTTCGCCGGATGGAACGATGAGGCTCCAATTCACGGTATTCGTAAAACAGAGAGCGGGATTCTTCTCTATGCGTACACCACCACGGGATATCTTTGCCAGGTTGGTGAGGCCAATCTGCGAAAAAGTTTCACAGGATTAGCCGTAGAATTATGAGTCAAAGGTCGAACGACCGGTTAATTTGATTGACTGATTAATATCACTTGACCCGAACATTTGACCGGGCCCTAGCTAGCGCACTGGCCCGAATACTTTCGAACCAAGGCTCGACTTGATTCGACGTGGGAATGAACGTTGTGATATGGATTGTACGTGACGAACGTCATGTGCGCGCGGATAGAAATCCTTTTCGCACGATACGAAAGTTGCACTGGATACAACCGCTCGTTTTAGTACGTTGACATTGGATCCGATAAGTTAAACATATAAAAAACTGTTGACTTCTTTACTGGGTCTTTTACAGCTTTCCTTTTTATTGAACAATTCCATAAATATAATGCCCGAAGTCTTTGAAGTCTACCTCCATCAGCTCTCTTGAACCAACAGAACTAAATCAGCAAAGTGCGACCTAGTGGATTTATTACTTACTTTGCACCACTAGAAGTAATTTTGCACCCCGTGCCATTTGAGAAAAGACCGTGGCGCTGTTAACTTAATAGAAAAATAATCTCGAATCACAAAAAGCGATAAGAAAATAAAACAAAGCGGATGCAATTAATACAGAATTTGTACTATCTAAAACAAATGGAAATTTTACTATTGTCTCCTTAATAAAACTTAATTTCAACTAGTCTCAAGGGCAAGATCTTTCTCCGATCTTTCAAGAATTAAATCAATAAAATCGAATTAAACTTATCGCATTTCTTAACGACATAAACGGAGTACAGTTATTTTTTATGGTAAAGAGTAGTACAAAATAGATACTAAATAATTCACTAGGTCGCATTCGAATTTGCTGATTTGGTCTTGGTAGCTCAAGAAGGCTATCTTCGCTACTTAGATGGAAGTTAACGCCTTCGAGATAACGTTAAAATTATGCACAGACCGTTATGACCCAATTAAAACCTCGCTTGGAATAATTTTATTATTCGAGAAAATAGAGCGCCAAGATAAGGCTGCGAAGTTAAGAAATAAGAAGTTGCAGAAGCAAACCAAGTTGAAGAAGCGAGAGAAATGCTCGCACGAAGCTCGAAGGAATCTTACCTCCTGCAAGTTCTTCATCTCGTAAATCATTAACGTGAAGTCTGTGAGGAGTATATCGCCCCTGATGACCTCGAGATTCGGGAAGAGTTTGTTGAGGCTCTTCAGACCGTCCACGCGATACAAAAGAAAGTAGCCGGTGATCTCTCTCAGTTCCGGGAAGCTAACGTTCTCGAAATCCGCCTCGGTGTTGTTCTCGATTAATACAATTTGCAGGAAGCCCTCGATCACACGGCAGTCTTTCAATACTATAAAACTGTTAACGTCGTTCCTGATGTCTATGCTCTGACAGATACCGTCCCCGATTGTCATATTCTTGTATCTCCGGACTTTCTCTCGTCCTACCTCCTCGCTCGATTTCGCGTGCGACTTGGGCAGATTTGACGATTGACTAGACTGCTGATTGGTTTTAGACCCGACATCCGTAGATCTGAAACAGTCAAGCTTTCCATTAATTTGTTTTGCAGTTCGAGTGTTGACAGATGTCGATGGAATTCTTTCAATGAGAGAGATTCACGTTTTTTCTAGAGAATCCAAAAAGACTTCGTCAATACAAACCAATTTATCGATCTTTCTCTTGATTTTCCTTTTTTTTCACGAGTATTTCACGCGTATTCCGAGAATCCGAACAAATCTCAAATTGTCAAAACGTTCGAAGCGCAACGTTTCAGCCGGACATAAAAACCGTCGAAAATGGATCTTTTTCATTAACATTTATATCATTTCGACAAATCGTAATCTTTATTTAACGAAAGTAAAATGGAATATATGCATTTTATTTTCCGCATTGAATTTTTAGCATTCAAGTGCTCCGCTATTCAGAAACGATTCGAACGGAAATACATTCTGCAGGATTAAAAGGGGCCACTTGCATTTAAATGATACCCTTTGTACGCGGTACCACGAATTATTCGTTCAACAAAGTAAAATTAGCGAGGCATTTAAAAGCCGCTAATAACTCTAAGAAGATCAAAGGGAATTTCAACAGCGGCGGCGCAGAGAAACGTCGCAATCCCGGCCGGCGATACTCGTGATAACCAATTTGAGGGGACTAATTGGTGAAAATAAAATCACTTTGTGCTTGTACTCGAATAAATATCGAAGCGTCGGCGGCTATACCTGAAATCCACCGCTTGGAAATGCTTCGAGAAGGCGATCAGCAATTTCCGCGCACGTGGGCGTCTTCCGCGTTTCGAAAATTTGCGAACGGGCTAGCACGTACCTCTCCAATTACGAAAGAATTTGCTGATATATTAGGTAAACGCGTGCAAAAGTTCCGTTTACATAAAGGATCAAGTAGTTCTTTCATAAGTAAAATGGTTTATTCAATCGATCTCCCATTAAGCTCCACTCCTTTCTTTAATTCCACGTCGACATTTCTTCGGGAATATATATTGCACATTTGAAAGGACTATTTGTAAGCACTTAGGGGAATACCAAGTACTAAACATACATTTACTGCTTGAAATGCACTTTGTACGAATCTCAAATGCAGTGCCTTTACAAAGTACATTTATCAAACCAACAAATTCGTACACCTCCGGGGCTTTTCATAACACACCTAGTAGAGTTACCGATCGCTCGATTGTTGCGAATGCCCAGGATGTCCGCAATTTTGGCGTCATCGTCGCTGGTCCATGAGCTGTGATTGAAAACGTCCTGCAAGTCCTCCTCACTGTTCGCGTAACCAACCTTGCCCTTGGCGCTTTTATCCCGATGCTTCGTGGCCGCTCTCGGCCACCTTTTCTCCTGGCAAAGCGCCAGGCCCACTACCGTTACGCACAACAGAACGATCGGCAGCAGCAACTTCCTCGTCCTCATCTCCTTGTCTCATTGAACACCGCGCGCTTCAAAGCCTCCCGTTGAACGTTCCCGACCTTATCCCCACGTGCCGCCCCGACCACCACTTTCGTTTTCTTTGATTGATCGACGATTGATAGTCGACCCTGCGAGCTGCTCGTCCCTACTTCTCCTTCGTCCGTTTCTTCCTCCCCCGTCCACGGCCTCGGTTGCGTCCGATTGTTTGACCTTTTTCTTGGGCTTCTCAAAGGCGCTAATTACTAGACTGCAAAACGGTTCGTAGTTCCCTATTCAGTTCCCTATTCAAAGACGGAAACGCTGCTCGGAACTATAATGCGACGATAATGCTTTGTCTCGCTACCGCCTTTAGTTCACAATCTAAAAAAAAAACAGAGAGAAAGAAAGAAATAGCCAGCTAAAATATTGCTCGGTTATCGCGATCAGAATTATATCGTGTGAAAAGAAACGAACGAGCTATAATAAATGTTTGCGAGTTCTGTATTACAGTAATTGACCCCTTTAACCCACGAGTCCTATATTGAAATTAAATGCTTAAGCAATTCATAAAGTGTTAGAAGGAATGTGCAGTGCTATTCCTTCCAGAACGCGTCAGTCCGCTGCTTTCCAATTTCCGAGATTAATAATGAAATATATCTGAGTAATAGTGCGCGGGAAAAGAAAGCGTTTCTTTTCTCTTTCGCCGGGATAATATCCAAAACTCATTAAAATTGGACGGCCACAGCGCCATCCCGTTAACCCAAGAAGCAGCGAGATCCGGGGAGATTTATATTTTCCGTTCTATTTTTAATGAATACCACTCGTACACACAATTCTCCTGCCGTACCTGCGGATTAAAAGCGACGCGGTTTCACCACGAGAAGAACACCCTCGGTTATTCTGCGCCTCCTCCGCCGCCTCCCCCTCCTCCCTCAAGGAGGTAATCGATCGATCGTCCGCGTTCGTCCAGGCTCGCGTGAACCCTCTCCGATTCTCCCTCCCCGTGCCGGCTCCGGTTAACCCGGTTTCAAACTCGCGGGGGGGTGTTTCCTTCCCCGGAAGAATCAGAAGTCTTGAGGTTGCACGAGTTTCCGCAAGGGTTGAGCGTACAAGTAAGGGCTGACCGCGGTTGACGCCTTCGAAGTATCCTCGCAGCGCTTCAAATGTACTTCTTATTGAAAACGAAGTACATTTTGGCCTTCATAATTGCGTCGCCGTCGTCGCACGCCGTAATTATCTGTCAAACAGAAGTCGAAACGTAACGTTTAGCGTGGATGCAACTTCGACCTGCGCCTACGAGAAGTCGTAAAAGGGCGAATAACATTTCGGTAAATTCAATACCACAGGTAGATTTTATAATAGAATTGCTAGAAGCTTAGGATATACAAAATTTAGCATACGCTTAACTCTTTGAAGCATAATTTTTTCTATCGTACTATTTTTTGTGAAACTTTGTATACAAAGGTTTTTGGAGTCGCTGATTACGAATCCGTTATCAGATTTTCATAATTCAATTGAAAATTCTTATAGAATATAAAAAATTGTGCAAAATTTGATTTCAGATTCTTATTTATAAAGTGTTATTTTCTAATTATACACCTGATCCGTAGATACCGAGTTTTTAACGACAACATCGAATTCGTAATCAGTGACCTAAGAAGTCTCTAAATACCATAATCAAAGAAAAATGCTGAAAAACTTGAAAACTTAACAAATTCACGTACTTTGCGTCCGCCAGTTTAGGTCGGCCATTTTGAATTTTGAAAATCCGACATCAGATTCGTAATGAGCGACCCCGAAAACCCCCTTGTACAAAGTTTTCAAGAAATAATCTTAAAAAACTTGGTTAACAATGAAATTTTCCGAAAAAAATTGCTGTTTTTTTCATATTTGTTTATCTATAAAACTTTTAGAATAAATATTAAAGACTACAACTTTTTTTTATGTTCTTTAATTGCTAAGACACCCAAAAAATGCAAAAACCCGACCTAAATACGTTAACTAGAAATTAAATGGCCAAAAAGTAAAGAAGTTGACGATTAAAATGCTTCAAAGGGTTAAAATATATTTCGCACGCTTTCTTTTCCTTATGTAAATTTAGACGCTATGTAAAATATGTATGTTGGAATATACATATACACGTGTGTGCATAATTGTATTTAATTTAATTAGGCAAATTTGCATGGGCTACTTGAGAGAGGGTATTTAAGTGTATCCGCTAATTAAAGTTAGATAAAAACGCGACGTCAAGTTCTAAACTAATTTGCAAATTAATGCGGAGGCACAACTGCGCTCGATATCATTTCTGCACGCTCCTTTTTGACCGGTGCATTTTGCAACTGAACATCCCCTTGATACCCTCAAGCGACGTTTAAATAGAAAAAAATTAGTTGCGTCCTTCAATTAATTCTCTGTTAGATAATAAAAAGCAAACGATAATTTGATTAAAATGTAAAAGCGGAAATTTCCTCGCAAATATTCAGCGTCGAGAACGATAGAAAAAAAGCACATAATTAAATTCAGGAAAACATGAAACCTGTGACATAATTAATTATACGTGATATAACCGATATAATTATAATAGTTCAGCGTCGCCCTCGCTCGATTTTAATGAAATGCCGCGACTAAAATTGCTAATGACACGAAGCCATACCGTAGGAATGCGTTATTGTCGAAAATGACGTCAAAATTATCAATGCATATCATTTCACTTTAAACTATATGTTAATAGTATTAGACATTCTCTTGTTACCTCGGGTTTTCATCTGTTATCCCGTAATAACTTTCATTGTGCGTCTGTAATCTGCATCCGTTATACGTAAACGCCCACAATGTAATTAGCATATTTCATATACGCAAAATGATTACACTGTATTATATCTCAAGTAAAGATCTGGTTAATTAACTGAGGCGCGGGTACGCACATTGTTGAAATTTAAATAAAAGTACGGTATCGACCGTCACAATCTTTACCAACATTAATATCTGTCGAACGCCTGCGTTTCTGCACTGAGAAAAGTGCCCGATTAAATACGAGATAATCGGATAATCCAATTACATAATAATAAACGGATATATCCAATTAAACTGTATTTCCGATTAAAAATATGATCGGTTTTTCAATCAAATTTCATCGGTAACTGCACTCTCATCGGATATATCCATAATTTAATCGGAAACATTAACTATGTATCGGAAACACTGTTTAATAGGTTTATCCGATGAAAACTTTTCTCAGTGTGTGAAAAATCGGGACTTTCCTGGAAAGATAAGAGAGAACTTCAATTTGGATTTTTCGCGAAAAACCAGTCTGAATTATTCGCAACATATATTATCGAACATTGTTAAGACGCGTAGCGTGTTGTAAATACTAGCTTGCGATATTTTATCGTATATAAACGCTTCCCTATCTCCAAGTTTCATATCTAACTACAGTAAATTAAGCTGATTCTCTCTTTGGACGCGGAAGACGCTCAAGTGTGCTCGCTAATTAGAACTAGGTAACCTTTACACATAAGCGACATACTCGAAATTTTATCATCGAGTTCTGGTTCCGAAAAAAGCAACGAGAAGCTAAAGCAGGAAACTTAGATGTGTCCGCTTCTATTCTGCACAAAGTATAATTTTGGACTAAGTAATTTTGTACAAAGTTGAGCATAATTTTGAGCCACATAACGCGCGCCTCTGACAAATTGAGGGCTCAAGTTTTATTAGACTAATTTGCATACAAAGTGATTCTAAAACAGGTTGTTAAAGGCCAGACGTGCTCTTTGACACGTTCGAGGACGCTCTTCCTGAGCCTGAGCCTCTTCCTCCTCGCGATCTTTTAATTTTCATTAAGTGACCTCGCGGTCAAGCCTCAAACTTGCGAGTCCGCGTTCGCCAAAAATTCGGCATTGCGATTTTACCTGAGAACCCAACCAAGAATAACGCTCGTTTACGTCGATATTCGAAATTTAATTGACGAGAACTTTATCTTCTGCTCCGTTTACAACAAAGAGAGATCGCTTCTCAACGTTAACGTCGGCGAAAAGAAGTCGACCCCCCACGTTGGCGAAGGTACGGTAGAGTTTAATGGCTTGATTTCAAATCACGTAGAACTCCAGACCCCGGAATTTGATTCGTTTCTCTCATTTACTCCCTTCCCCTCGCCGCCCTTTGTCGGCGGCCGTTCGTTTTTCTACTCCGCGCGGCTCTCCCCTCCCCGGGCAACGCCGGATACTTGCACCATCCCATTTCGGATTACGACGTAATCAGCAACGAGGAAAATCGCGCGGACCGTTCTCGGAACGTGGCGTTCGCGAAACAGTTGTCGAGGAGGCATTTTACTTTTTGGCCTCGGTAAAAAAAAGCCGCCTCATGAGAAACGCCGTAAATTCCGCGCGTTGACAATTACCTCGAACATCGGTGGTGTCCCATCAAGAGCCGCGGTAGAAACGCGTGGAAATTGCGGTTACGACGTCGGGCCCTCGGATCGTGCCACGGCAGTCACGACGGCCGCTATCATATTTCGTCGTTCCGCCGCATTTTATAAGAACGCTTTATGAAACCAGAGTGATTCTTCCTCGAGGAGGAAGTTATTCGTGTGAACGTTGCGAGAATCGTAAGTAATATTCTTGCCGTCGTTTCTGCCGTTGGGCGGAAGTCGAGACGTGATGGCCGGGCCAGCACCGACGTCGATTATTTCGCGAGTCGTCGGTGATCCCGGCGGCCTTCTTTTTCTTCTTCACTGGCAACCTGGTGGAATCACCAGTTTTTCTGGCATGTAATTAACCGTACGGATTGGTACCTTGTAGACTTGCGGTCCAACGTACTCCCGCGCGAACAATTATTACAGCCGCGCACAAAGGAAGTTCAATTAGGGAATTTAAAAATCGTTGAGTGAAGCAGAGCCGACACGAATCTTGCAATTAATTACAGAAGCTGCCATGTTCGGTCGAGCCGGACGCTGATAGCCGAGTAATATCTCGCACGGAAAATGGCGTCTTTTGTAATTAATTGCGAGAATTGTTACGCAAAAAGCGCAGGTGGGCCAACTTGGAGCCTTAACTGGGAAGGATTACACTTGATTATGTCACAATTAAAAAGTTACTAAATAAGTATTCTCGCTGCGACGCTGGGAGCGCGCGGAGCCGATAGTTTAGAAGTTATTCTGGATTCAAGGGGTTCTTTCAACAGCTGCCGTCATTATTCACGGTTCTACCGACAATACCGCGTTCCGAAGGGCGTCCGCTTTATAAAGTTTCGAAAGTGGTTTCGTTGGGCGATGAGAGGAGAGCGATCTCACGCGAGAGGAAACTCGCGAAGACACGTCGGCGCGAATATCCGCGCTCCTGACGTCATAATCCCAGCCGCGGCTGGCGGATAGGTAGACAGATGGATATTGACGACGGGACGGGAGGGGGGGTTAATTTAATGCTGGAAATTGATGAGATTTGAAAAAAAAAGAGACGACGCCGAACAAAATGTTCCACGCACGCGGATTCCCGCTTCAATCACCGCCTCGGCCGCCTGCCTAGGAGATAACTCGGGATAGGCACTTTATGCTTTTGAACACCTGCGGATTATGCCGGGAAGAAATGCCTGATATTATGCTCTCATTATGCGTGAGAAATCCAACGGTTTTGCGCCAATTGTGCATATGTTAAATCCGCCATTTATACGCGATTATGTTATTTCGAACTTTTACGTAATATATTAGCTCATGACTCGTGAAATTAAATGGTGGTGTGAACTTTCACCACATTCACGTAGTTAAATAACTCGGTGTCAATTTTAATACCGAATATTGTGGAAAATCTTTCAAACCGACAAACGCGGCGTCAACTTTGATGCTATATTGTTTTGTCTTCACGACATGCGATGCGATCGCAATGTTAATTTCGCATCGGTAAGGTGAGAATTGTATGAACACCTGAATGGATCTTATTTCACACCATTGGTGAGAATTCACATCCATATTTCTTAGAGTGTAAGCAATCCAGTAGGAAAAATAGTATCGTGTGCCGTTAGGCTTTAGATCAGGTGACTCAAGGCTAAATCCTGATTGACTCTCGTAAGCGATCCAGTAGGAAAAATATTAAGTATCGTGTGCCGTTGGCTTTAGACGACTCCACTTAGTCGCTCGCGCGACTCGGGCGAATATCTTAATTCGCCATATAAATATCGCGATAACGATCGCAGGGAAAAGGCAGAGAACGGAATGAAGTGGCGGGGGGGGGGGGGGGGAGGAGAGAA